TGATTCGTTCGATAAAAACTGGCAAAGGACATTGTCAGAAACCGCCTTAGATTCCTGGGCACAGCAGTAAAGTATCAAAATTAATCTCTTACTTTTTGAATACTTAAATATTAATTAGATTGTAACGGACACTTGAGGATTAAAAAATGAAATAATAAAAGTATTTTATATGTATTCCATAATACTATGACGACATCCGGACATTTTAGGGCGTGGCCTGCTCCATATCCTATGAAGTTCCATAATTTGTGTCGATAAAATCTATGTAAAATCGGCACAAGGCAATGCCGTACTTCATTGTTAGGAATCCATGTAATAGTGATGTTGACTGCGGTCATCATAGACAATAAGATACCGATCTTGTAAATAAAATAAATCGTCCAAATTGCTACAGTATGACTAGATTTTAATTAAAAGTTAAAAATATATTGCACGATACTACAAGAAGCTATCTAATGTGTCCAACTGGTCGAAGGTCATGAATAAAATAAAAAGAATTGTGATCATAACACTGATATAGACAATCTGGCTGTTAGATGTGGAAGATATCACCTAGTACACGTTCATAACTTCCCGTTGCGTAGAACAGTAGGGTTATAATAAGTATTTGGTCCACTGGTTGTATGGCATTTGGTGAGGGGTTTCAAAGAGCTTCCAAATTATGAATCCAGAAACAACACCGTTTCTTTAGAGACGCGGAACCTCGCTCGGAATTGCATGTCATTATAATAATATTTTTCAATAGCGTTCAGCCTTATTGCGTTCCTGCGATTAGATCTAGGTATTTCCTCGAGGCTCGAAAGAAATGATAACGATGACACACATTATTTACCACTATTTAGGTCGTTTTAGGTAAAACAATAGGATTTAAGATACCGCGCAAGCACTCTCAAATTTAACAGCTGCTTAAGACGATTTGACAGTTGTTTGAGTAATGCTTAGCGTTGAATGGCGTTTCAGTATGCGAAAATTCATTTAAGTGGCGTTTGAGAGCAACTTAATTTGAGAGGTGCTTAAAAATTGAGAACTGCTCAGATATTGTTTTGAGTATGCGAAATGTAAGTTTAGGAGCTGCTTAACTATTTGAGAAGCCGTCAAATATTTAAATGGCGTTTCAGTATTCGGCCGTTACTTTGCTAATATTAAGTATATCAAGTTTTTTTTGTGTGGTTGAACGTGCTAATCTCAAGTAACTTAGTTCGAATTGAAAAATTATTATGTTGGATAGATAGTCCATTTATTGAGGAAAGTATTACGCGTAGCGAACAATAGCGAATCATCAATGAAAAGTGTTGCAAAAACGGGAAAAAATAATCTAACGTTTTTCACGCGTGGTCAAAGTCGCGGGCACCGCTAAGTAATGTCTAGTTTGATAAAAAATCGACTCAAGAGAGAGATTTTGATTAACTTAGTATCTATTTTTAACCGACTTCAACAAAAGGAGGAGGTTCTCAATTCGGTTGGTATGTTTTTTTAATTAAGCAACATTACTTTGCACGCAGATAGATTTAAATAGATAGTTCGGTGCTCAAAATGTCGAATATTTGAGCACTCACACATCACAATATTCGACTCTATTTGTTGGACACATGGTCAGTCTCTATTGGCACAGATTAGGGGGCGTCCATTAATTACGTGAGACAATTTTGGCTATTTTTTATCCGTTAGGCCCCCTTACACCCACAACTTGCTCGAGATTGCTCAATAAGTTGTGGTCAATTCCCCTCAACTTTATTAGTTGACCGCGTTAGAGAGACAGATATAGCTGTGAGGCGTTCAGAGTCGACAAACGAACAATCATAACTTGATTTGATTGATAAAACATTGTAACTACTTACAAATGATTTTGATTTGTAATAAGTTTTTAGGTAGCTGGTATACGCGCGTGCTGAGTCGCTTCTCTAATAAAATTTTCAATAAACAACTTTAAAAAACGAACTGCTCTTCCAACTGAGCTATGTAGGCAGTTCGATTTTATCAAGTTGTTTTATTTAAAAATATTAATTTTGAACAATTTATTAGTCATGATGACGCAATATTAATTTTGCAGTAGTTATACATAGACTAAGTACCTACTTAAGTCTAGAATATTATCAAAATTCCACTGTCGCTAGCTTCTGCTTGTGGCTTGACTCGTGTAGTTTATTAGGTTACAGAAAATATTCCGCTTTCAAAAATCAACGTAATGTAATATTCCTTTCCAAGAACATAATCCCAATATTATGTGAAATAATAAGTTCACTGGGCCTTCTTTTAATTCCTCACTTCCACAGTTCAATTTTATTGCAATAAAAGATTTTTACTCTATAACTTGTTATTAAAATCGTTTCGGCTTTTTTTGCAGCATACAGACATACTTACTAATAAATTTTCACATTAGTATACACTTCTTGCCTAATTCATAATTAAAAACAAAGATGAATAATGCAAACATATAAATAATGCTAATTATGAATTATAATTAACTAGCGGCCGCCCGCGACTTCGTACGCGTGAATCCCGTTTTTCCCGTTCCCGTGGGAATTTCGGGAATTCCTTTCTTAGTGCACCTCTACGGTACCTAAGCTACGTCCCTTCCAAATTTCAAGTGCCTACGTTTAGCCGTTTAGGCTGTGCGTTGATCTGTCAGTCAGTCAGTCAGTTTCTCCTTTTATAATATACAGGGTGTTTCTTGTAAGGTGTCAAGCCGAAGGCAGGTGATAGGTGAGGACTAGACCTATCGATTTCACCCCCATGTATGTTCTACGATTTTTCATAGTTTAGAAGTTATCGTTAATTTTGTGATTTTTTCAAATTGTATGACCCAGTAGGCTTTAAATTTTTTTATCTTTTTTTTTGGGTCGACTTTTCTCAGATTTCTTTTTTTTGACAGATTTCCTATTAATTGCAGATTTTTGAAAAAAATAATCAACTTCCTATCTTTGATGCAAGATACAAAATTTTTGCTAGAAACATAAAAAATATGCTTTTAGCGGAACATTCTAAAATTTTCAACTTTAAAGTTTAAAAAAAAAAGAAATTTCATAGGTCCAAAATAATTTTAAAAACTGCGCAGTTTTCTGAACTTTCATAATAACACAAAAAAACATGTACTTAATAGGCCATTATTTTCTGTAATCGCTCCACTAAAGTGGTAAGTCGGAGATTCCGTTACATGTTTTTGACTTTCTTAGGACTAACTAATGATTGCAATTCTCTAAGTTTACGTTACGTAGAACACATTTAAAGACAATAACTGAACAGAACATTTTTTTATCCACAACGAGGAATCTCTTGCCCTTCATCTGACCTGATGAAAACTGATGGATGATCAGCGAGCTTCACTCGGAATCCTAAACCACAGAGGAATTGGCTGTCCTAAATAGGTGGCCTTACCACTAGACCACAGTGGTGGTTGTTACTTTACGATTAAATTCGATATAACTACCTACATATTAGAGTGTGAGAGAAAGGGAAAGAGTTTGTGTGTGTGTGTGTGTGTGTGTGTGTGTGTGAGAGAGAGAGAGAGAGGGAGAGAGCAAAAATGGTTGTAATGATTTAATTTAAAGTAAATGTTCAAAATGTCCGCCGTTGACCGGAATGCACATTCGACAACGACGCAAAAAACCTTCTTCTTCATTTTAATTTGGTTTTGTGCTTCAGTCAGCTTTGGCCGCAGTTCATCAATATTATTTTCATATTCCCTATGGTATTTTTTTGATTTTTTTTTGATGTTCTTTTCAGATATTGTCTCTAAATGTGTTCTACATAACGTAAACTTAAGGGATTGCAAACATTACTTAGTCCTAAGAAAGTCAAAAACATGTAACGNCGGTGCGCGAGTCCGACTCGCACTTGGCCGGTTTTTTCTTTGGCAAGATTTTTTGCTTTCATAAGGAGACCTTTGTTATACAGTGTGAGTCACGTTAAAGTGTACATATGAAAAAAGATGAAACTAGACCTATATTTATCGACAAAAAAGAGGTCAAAAAATTTTTGAGATTTTTTTTAATTTTTTTATAGAATTTTTTTTCTTCCAATTACTTATTGTAAAGAAAAGGTAATAACTTTTAAACTAAGCGGTATAACCTGATAAAATAAAAACAGTAATAATGCTAAATAACATGCGATACTAAAAAAATACATAAAATACACAAAAAAGGCCAACAAATAATAAAAAATGATACTTTTTGAAAAAAAATTGCCTTTAAATTCGTGTTTTTTTGGTTATTTGATCAATTTCTCCAAAAAATGCCCCTATAACCGGTGGTTTTTATTACTTTGTATTATTCTCTATCGTATAACCTTTGTAAATCCAAAAATCGCATGTCTCTATCCCGATCACAACGTTTGCAATGATCGTTTGAACTCAGCCTCTCCGAGCGCGCCATTCAACGCTTCGTTAACAACGAAACTGAAAATGGCTCTAGATTTGTAATTTTGATAAAGACAAGTTAGATTTCAAATAAAAACAAAAGATTTTGAAGTGAAATACGCATTTTAGTTAAAATTAAAATTGTCTCTACCTGTAGCGGAGAATAATGTTGTGGCAGGCCTTTGTTCAAACGATCATAGCAAATGTTGTGATAGGGATAGAGACATGCGATTTTTGGTTTTACAAAGATAATACGATAGAGAATAATACAAAGTAATAAAAACCACCTGTTATAGGGGCATTTTTTGGAGAAATTTATCAAATAACCAAAAAACACGAATTTTTAAGCAGATTTTTTTCAAAAAGTATCGTTTTTAATTATTTGTTGGCATTTTTTGTGTATTTTATATATTTTTTTAGTATTGCCTGTTATTTAGCATTATTACTGTTTTTATTTCATCAGGATATACCGCTTAGTTTAAAAGTTATTACGTTTTCTTTACAATAAGTAATTGGAAGAAAAAAAATTCTATAAAAAATTAATTAAAAAAAAATCTCAAAAATTTTTTACCTCTTTTTTGTCGATAAAAAATAGGTCTAGTTTCATCTATTTACATATGTACACTTTAACGTGACTCACACTGTATTATAAAGTAAGATGGTCGTTAATGTAAACATTGCCACCGCCGCTGTACCCCAGCTGAGAAGCAGGGAGTTCCCTGTGTTGACGTGCCGCTGATATAAACTCCTCCTTACTGTACCGATTATGAAGTGACATAATAATGGACTTCTCAGAGTCCGACTTGAGGCTCGGGACCCGGGCAATGTAATTGATGTCCTCTTTACGTACGGGGCATTTTATGATATTGCCGATTAGGCCCACGATATCATAGAGGTTCTCAGTCTTTTTAAGTGGAACCCCTCTTATTTCAACATTATTAGCCCGTGCCCATTGCTCTTTGTCCTGAAGGTCTTCCTTGAATTTGTTCAAGTCCGCTGCCATAGCATGAATCAAGTTAGTATGCTCCTCAACTTGCACAATTCTGCCCTCCAACGATTTTGCTGTCGCAGATAGCTGATCTGCCGTTTCATGAGCGAATTCAATTGAGCTCTTGAGGTTTGACATTTCCAACTTTATGGTCTTCACATCTTCAACAAGTGCCGCTAAAGGGGTGAGTTTAGTGTTCCCGAGGCCTATAGGCTTTTAGGCTTTTTTTTAAGGCTAGCCTATGAATTAAGGGCTACAGTGGAAAAAAAGCCTAAAAAGTCTTTTAGGCCTTTAGGCTAGGCTTAAAAAATAGGCTATTCATAGCCTTTTTTTGTCCACCCGATGACTATAGGCTTTTAGCCTTTTTGTAGGCTAGGCTTGAAAGGATAAAAACCTATAAAGATTTTTGGTCCTTTAGGCTAGGTCTATTTTATTTTCTATTTCTATTTTATTTCTATTCTAATTATTATTTTCGAGTATAATAACGTCACTAGAGGTCGTCAGCGCAAAAGTGGCATAACAACCCACATTTTTCATATTCGTACTTATCTATTGCAATTTATTCAAAACCTAATAAATTTTGATGCTAAAGCGGCCTATTCCCAGTTTCACCCTTAGTTAAGAGATGGGGCGTTGTAAACATTCTTTTTGCGCGCATTGTTTTTGCCTACGAAGAAGTATAAAAGTGGCCTAACCAAGTTTAGGCTCCATACTAATAATTATGTTAAGCTTAGGCCACTTTTGTGCTGACGGCCTCTAATATGAATTGCTGTAAGGGACAAATCGCAACTTTTCAGGAGAGCCAAAAAACGTTTAATTTTTTTTAAAGTGGTATATTTTAATAGCATTTCTTTTTAGCATTATTATTCAATAGCATTCCAAATATAATTTTTATGTTTGCAATGCTATTGAAATGACAACTAAAGCAAAGTTGCTTTAAATTCAAAGCTCAATAACATAAGTTTACTAAAATTAAGCTAATCCTTATAGTTTCGAAAATAGACTGTCCCTTACGTTACTTTTTTTTAATTGTCACTTACACTATTTTTTTTGCAAATTAATAATGTGAAATAATGCAAGTCCTAGAAAACGTAAAATGTAATAATGTAAGGAACACTATTTATTTGGACTTAAGAGTTACGCCATTCGCCGCGTTTAAAGGAAAAAACACTTAAATAAAACTAAGACCTTAAAGTTCAATTTGTAGCTTTCAACAAAAGTTTATGAAATTACTCTTGTAGAATATCTCACGGTTTAAGACATTTATTTCAACAAAAATAATTTACAATTCATTTGTTTGTGAAATATGAATATTATTTTGTTAGTGGTACAAGTGCCGGAACGGTGCGTGTTAGTAATTTAACAAATCTTAATATAATATCTCAACTCATTTTTCTACAAACTGCAATAAAATGATATCGAATTAAATCTTTGTATTAAATAATCATATTTTTTCTTTCATTCTTTAGTTCTCCAACATAAAAACATGGAGTCTTGACAAAAAAACAAAAAACGTTAAGAAACGCTTTTTAAAATACAGCCATACAACAAATGCAAATGGCTTTCCTTGAAAATAAAACAGAATTCTCTTATTACATACCTAGTGAATTAAAAAAAGTACTTACTAGTGTAAGTACTAAAGCGAGGTTTAGACTAGCAATAGCAGAAGTTGACTTCTGCAAGCTATCATGTGTAAATCTTGCAGAAGTTGGCATGCCACACCTATTTACACATTGATAAAAACTTCTGCAACTTTTATTTCTAGTCTAAACCTCGCATTAGTTAGATCAAGAAAGAAAAAACTAAAACATACCTGTTTGACGCCTGACCAAAATAATTCAGTTAAGTACATTTTGTATGTATATGGGTGGTAGTATGTATAATATGTATCGCACCCTTAATAATATAGGGGCACAACTCAAAATTTTTGGTTTTTTACTTTTTGTACTAGAGAGGCATATTTTCGTTAGTTCTACAAGATGGCTTTCACAGAAATCGAAAAGAATGATCAGATTAAAGAGTTCTACATTTTGTGCCCCTTCCATACTTTCATCTATCTTCCCGCTAGAAGGGCTGAATCAGAGACATGCCGATATTTGTCGAATCCGGCCCCCGCNGATTTGTAGTATTTAGAGAAACTAAAAAGTTCTTAGTCTAGGTACTTAGTATTTGATTATCATTCACATAGGTAGGTACCTATTCGAAATAAAATTTAATCTACATTAATTTTTGGGGCTTTTGAAAATATTATACTTATTGGTCACTGAATTTATTTACTTATAGTAAACAAATTCAGTGCTCATCTGAGCCATAACGTAATAATTAATTTCAATTTCACTTGAATGTATCTTACGAGGAAGATCTTTGGTAACGCAAAGTTTTATGAAAATTGTAAATGCCAGTGTTAACTAGTTCTTAGATAAGTAGGTACCAATTTATCTACAAAATGGCTTATTTTAGGTTTTAAAATTAAATGATGTTAATATTACACTTTCAAAAAAATATCTATCCATAAAAATATTATGTACGACCTAAAATCGAGAAAGATTAAAACTTCACTGACATAAAAACTATAATTTAACAGCTTTTTTTAGAAACAAAAAATAACTTACCTGTTTGCGAAAACTTTTTGGAAGTGTTATTTCACTATTTTCAGTTTAACACAAACACGTAACATTCGCACAGTAAAACTAAACTCACTTGGAAACTTTTTAAAACTTTTCAACGCACCAACTGTCCGTAAATAAAATACTTACAAAAAAAAACAATACACTACTTTCGAATTTTAATGTTCAAAAACCGAATTGAATTTTAAAATTTGAATTCAAATTTCGAATCACGGATTCGCGATCTCATAGAAGTTCGCGCCTACGGGCCTCCGTTCGGCCGGCACGCGCCGCCGCCTGATTTGAACTGTAGCTACGAATCTTTGAACATGATGGCTACGGTGTGGCGTAGCAGCTACACAATGAGCGCTCTACGAGAATGGATGTTCATAGACTACGACAAGAAAAGTTTCAGTAGTGGGCACTACGGATTTTGTTTAATTTTTCTTTAGTTACTTTGTAAAATTTTCATTTAATTGTTTTTTTACTCACACAACGGGAAAGCTTTTAGCCTGCAGCTTACTTACTACAACCTCAACTACAGGAGAAATTAGAAACAATATTATTGTGTCAGGGGTTTTACAAAATGCGTGAAAATAGCAAAAATCCTAGTTCATTAACTACTTCGAGAACATGGTGAATGTGTTTGGACCATAATAGTTTTGTGATGTGAAGATGCCATTTTGCGACAAAAATGTAGCCTGATATGCTATTGACTGTACTTACTTACCCAGTTGGTTTGGTTGTTTGTTTTTTTTAGAAAGTAGCTTTCCGTACGCGGCTTCGCTCGCGTGTATGTTTGTCTGTTCAAAAACCGGAATAAAAACTATTCTATGTCCTTTCCCGGGACTCAAATTATCTCTATACCAAATTTCATCAAAATCGGTTCAGTGGTTTAGGCGTGAAAGCGAGACAGACAGACATACAGAGTTACTTTCGCATTTATAATATTAGTATAGATTAGCTAAGCAAAATATGCTTGTGTTACGAGTGGGGTTCACCACAATATTCGAGCGGCGGCGGAAATCGAACCCGCGTTCCTCAGATCACGAGTCGGCCACGGTACACGATAGTTTCACAAAGTATCTTGTCAGCTCTTTTACACAGAAGTGGTATACCTATTTATACCCGTTGTTCTACTTTTAATTAATTTAATTATTTGTTAATTAATTATTTGCCACCTTCTAACGCGCCGGCAGATTTACTCGTCGGAATGCCGCTTCTCGCTTACTAAAATAACTTAACTGAATATTTTCGCAAGCAGGTAACGTTTAGGAGTAAACAATCTTTTATGTATTAACTAGCTTATGCCCGCGGCTTCACCCGCGTGAAATTCAGTGTCACCTAACGGCATAAATTATAGCCTATATGTTAATCTGGGTTAAAAACAATAATACTGTAAAGTTTCAACAAAATCCGTTCAGTAGTTTTTGCGTGAAAGAGTAACAAACATCCAGACATCCAAACTTTCGCATTTATAAGTAATATTAGTAGGAAGTAGTGTCACAGCGCGGGAAAATTATTTCTCACTCACATTAAATTATTTAAAGAACACTTTGTGTACAGTCACGGAATGAAAAGGTTCGTCAGTTTTCAAATTGATTCCTTCAACGAATCGCGAGCACATATTACCTTTTAAAACTATGTTACAGAATAATCTCGAGTTAGAGAAAATAATCTTTAACTGTTCGTCAGTAAAGTTCAAAATTATTCAGATCAAAGTTGTTTGACGATTTATCTTGTCAAGAAGATTATTATGATTGAGAAACTAAAATCTTCTTGTTGGTTCAACCTGCCATTATTATTTCTATTAAATAAAAAAAAACTATTGTCAATTGGTCAATGTCATCATTGCATTGCACTGATGGGATAGAAAAATAAACAAGCAAAACCTTATTTGTTAGCAAACGTCATATTTATTTAAATGTTAGCAGCACTGTTTCTTGCACTGTTATGTTGGCAGGTTTGACTCTTACAGTACCTAGTGCAAGCGAAAACCGACACTAAGGTGACGAACCTTTTCATTCTGCGACTGTACATTAATTATAACATTTTATAACACAATTAGTTCTGTTTTTTAATAGTACTTCTAGCAAATAGTAATTCTACTAAATTACGCCCGTATTCACAAACATACTATGAGGTCTCACAGTGCGCGTGAACGCACAGGATGACACACGAACCGATCACAGAGCTCTATTCAATGCTGTGCGTTCGATTTGCTGCTTCACTTAAGCAAGCATCGTTTGTGAATACGGGCGCTAGTTTTCCCAAACTTCGTATATGACCTCTTCTTCCCATCTGTGCGTAATGTGGCTATCCCTCGCCTAAATAAACAAAATAACATGTATTTCCGGACTAAAATTGCCCATGACCCTCGGAATATGATCTTTTATTGGTGAAATAATTTGCTGTTTGTGTATTTTCAGATGTTTTCTTCTCTCTGACTCTCTCTCATAGAAGAAAACTGGCCTGAACGACAGGAATAGAAATAAAAAGTCTAGTTAAGTAGGTAGGTACTAATGAGTGCGTTAGAAAGTATCCTCGCAGGACAACCGGGTACAGTACAGTTGGGTTGGTTGGATTGGGTAGGTACGGAAATTAACAAAATTGTAAAATCAATATATTTTACCTACTTAGATAAAACCAAGCAATTAAGCTACCTACCTGGTTCCCATAGGAACTCTGGTAGAGAGTTATTTAGTTCAGTATTTATTTATTGCAATGAAATTTGTAAGTGCACTAAGGAACTTAAAACCTGAGGTACCTACTTACTATGTACACCCGGTTGGGTAGGTACAGCTACCCGTACAGTTAAACCGTCTTCCGCTTCTTTCTTATCAATATTAAGATCCAAGAGTATATTCAACTAGACACGATTTTAATAAGATACCTACCTAGTACCTTACCTATTAATATTAATGTATTCTGTGACCTAACTTTACCCAGGCAAGACAGGCAAGTCGATATTGTTATCACATGTGACTAATATGAACAAGTAGGTTAGTATTAATATTAAAATCGTGTCGGCTAAGCACACAGAACGCCTACATAATTGACGTGAACAGAAGCCGGTAATGGCTGTTGGGTGTAGGCATAGAGATACGCCTATTTAACGTTGTTTAAGATACCGTATCTTGCAGACATTTTGTTTTCGTGTCATGTCGCGGCTACTGATAAACTTTTACACTATGCAGTAGGTACCTAGGTAAAACCCATGCATTTGTTTTGCCACCAACTAAAATTTGGTCTACCTATTCCTCATAATTCACCTGGATGAAATCAGCTCAACTGCGTGTTTGATCACTCATATAGGGGTCGACTCATTTTTTTGTAAATGAATAAAATTATCCTTTTAGACATTAAATTTCTACAGCTGGCAGCTGCGCCATCTAAGAAGGCCCAAAGCAAAGCTTGTACTATGCGTACCAGACTACGGATATCGAACCCGCGACCTCTTGCATAGCAGTCCGGTACGCGAACCACTCCACCAAACGGGTCATAAAGGAAGAGGTTTGTAATTAAATCATAACGTTTACGCTGCTGTCTTTCAATATCTTCTAAACACGACGGTGATGAATTATTTTGCGCTGCCTGTGGTCACGCACGAACATGTCACGAAGCTACATAGTATAAACGGTCATAATTTTGTCAGCGGATAACCGATCTGCGCATGACACTATAATAAAAAAAATACTTGAACGTTAAAATAAGGTGGACATCAAACAACATCGGACGTTAAAATAAAGTATCAATGACAGCAGCTGTCATTTACTAAAAGTCAAATAAAATTGTAAATGATTTTTCATTATTTTGTGTGTTGCATTGTATTCCAAGTTTTGTTTCTACCTGCCGTTATTACCAATTGAATTTACTGAATTCTTCTCATAAAGGATATAACAATAATTGTGTTTATCGGAAATCAACAATAATGAACCATGGTGAATGTTATGAAAGGAGTTCTCGTTGAGTGGTATGTAATATACAATTTGGTCATAACCATCTTTAACAAGCTTTAAAATCAGTGAATTGGTAGTCTAACATTTAATTTGTAGGAAATAAGCATGACCAAAACAATTCCAAGGGTTTTAAATCTGAATCATTTGTTTTTCTAAACATAACCTCTACAAATAACTATGGTTTATTCAATGTAGTCTAAATCCGAAGGGATGCCGAAGGCCTGGTCAATGGCTTCGTTTTCCATTTGAAACTTATTCTTGATGTAAGACTTCAAAGTGTAGATGTTCTCTGTCCAACGGTTTATAGCTGATTTTAGCTCCTGCAATAACAAATTAACATTTTGTGAACATCAACCACTTTAATTTATTGACTAGTCTAATAAATCAGATATTTAACACTAATTTTTCATTGTAAGTCAGTTTTCAAAGAAAGCCAACAGTTAAAGACAGTTTTTTTTTAAATCCTACCTACATTTATTGTATGTATTGTGTATAGAAGGTACTTTGAAAACTACCACTCATACAAATAGTTCTAAATACACAATGATTTGATTCTAGAATGATAAGAATCGAATGTTGGATTGTGAAAGCTATATTACCTCAGTCTCAGTTTTTAGTTGAGCTATGTACTCGGGGTCAGAGTCCCTATACTTTTGTAGTTCCTTCTTCAGCCCTTCCTCTTGTTTTAGAAGCTGTTCTAACATTGATAGTGTCTCTGTTCTTTCATCATTTGCTTCGCGACCTACCTGTAAATTAAGGAAAAACATCCTTTTGTGAAAAATAATTAAGTAGAATTTAGGAATTAATTAAAATAATAATTAATATTTTATCTGCCTTACTGATTCATGGGCTATGGCATCTTCTGTCTTTTTCAACTTCTTGGCACAATCATCGACTTCACTTTGTAAATCATTCAGTTTCCTTTTCTTCACATTTTTTGCTTTACTGTAACCAAAACATTTACTTTTTTAACATTATAAACAATCTGAAAAATTTTAATGTCCTATTTTATCTAGTATTCATTATTTATTAGTAATAAATGAAGTTTAAAATGTTAAATCTGCCAAGGAAAATATGGTTCTGATTATTATTGTAAAATGTTTATAACCCTATTCAAATCTAAATTTAATGATTAAATACAAGGTTATTTTCATGATCATTATTTTTCCAAAGATTGAACAGAGGCACTGTTTATTTTTAGAAGATAAACTGAAATGGTGCTAACTAAAGGTAAATAATTTTAAGTTTCACCAACTCAAGTCAAATTAGTCAATCTAAGTATAACATAATAAGGATGTATTTACCTTGGGAATGACCAAAAATATATTGAAGTCCCAATTTTCTCTGAATCAACCAAATGGTCATCAACTAAGCTCTGTATCACCTCTTTCACCGACTGCATTGTTATGCCTTTCTCCTTTGGCGCTATTTTCTCCAATTCCTGAAATAGAAATTTATTTCTTCAGTAACAAATTATAAAAATATTAGCCTACTTTATTTTTATTTATTTATTTAAAATCTTTATTGCACACATAAAAATACAGTGGTACAACAGGCGAGCTTAATGCCTTAATGCTTTAATGTGAACTAAAAATTTTGTTTGAGAAATTACCTTTAGTTGAAAGAAATCTTTACTATTATGAAAGATCTCCAACATCCTTATTCTCTTTTCTTCAGCACTTAAACCTCTCTTCTTAGACATGTTGTTTCAAATTCCAGCGACCCGGCGATGAAACAGTTCCTGCTGCACCTCGATGAGACACTTGCACTCGGCAGGAAGTTTATTATCCAGGACCTGGACGATACACACGTATTCATATCTGCAGACATAGTAGAAACACTACAAGCACGTGTTGATGATTTAATGGACCAACTCAGCATTCCCGTACATGACAAAGGACTTTAACCCACAATGACAGCTAGAGAATCCGGAAGAGTTAAGGAGGCGGAGAAACGAAGAGTCCTTGATGATGCAGCCAGAAAACGAAGGGCCAGAAAGGCCATTGAGGCTCTCGAGCAAGACAACTTCCATGAAGACCCCCATGCTGATTTAGTCATGTCAAAAAAAGTGCCAAAATTTGCTGATTCTAATGAAAAACCAACTAGAAAGAAAAAGGCTAAGAGTGCAGAGTATTACAAAATGAGGTTCAGGAAAACATTTGCACAATTGGTTGAGGAAGATGCCAGTTTCAGACCTGATCCCCCTAACTATTTGTCAGCACAAGCTTCACCATCAAAGTAAGTTATAATATTCATAACTTATAATAATAAACACTTCTTCTTGACTTTCAATGTACTTAACATACTACACTACACTTTCTACTTCTGTGAGTTTTTAGGATACTTAAGTAAATGTTTTTGTATCGTTTCAGATTTCCTGATCGTCATTTTTGTGCTGTGTGCGGATTCCTCTCAAATTACACTTGCATACCTTGTGGAGCCAGATACTGCAGCGTTCGATGCTTAGGCACACACTTAGACACAAGATGCCTTAAATGGACTGCTTAGATATAATTTATCAAGCTACTCGAGTGTAATTATTTATCTGTAAGCCAAACTAATTAATTTGCAATAAATGATTATGCATGTGTGATGAAAAAAAATGGATATCGTTTTATTTTCCCGCCAAATATCCCCCTTGCCTATTTTTTGTACAGAATGACGTGCTTTATCAAAGTTCAAGGAGTTTCAGAACAGTAATGTAGATGGCGCTAAATTGAACTATCACAATGTAGTAGTGTCATCTATTGACGAGTAGTCGAACTTTTTTACTCCTAAGTTTGTACGCTACTCCTCACTAGATGGCAGTACGTGTAGTTTTTTGTGAAAATAATTATTTATTTAGACTTAACTTTTTAATAAAAGCACACTAGGCAGGTAATAGTTTTTATTGTATAAGTATAGTCAAACTTATGATTTTCATTGAAAATCCTTTTCCTTGCATTGTCTGGAAGATATCGCTTCTTAGGCACAAGACCGCCTAAACTATGCCGTTTCGAATTTGTACTTCTTTTATCTGTTTCGTGTTGTATGCAATAAAGAGCTACTTATCTATTTACACATACAATATGTATTTAACTTACAGAAATCGATGCTCAATGGACCCCTAACATCGCTCCCCATCAAGGGCTTCGGCACGTGCTACGTTATCACCAGCTGCTGATAACAGAGCTATTGTTCGCGGCAGATGTTCAAGTGGCTTCCTCCTATACCTTCCGGTATAACTGAATTTCCGAGGTAAGTCAACTTTTTGTATTCTAAAGGTGCGATTTGGGGGGCGTTTGTATGAACTGTGTCTTTGATTCATGAATGATAAAGATTGCAAATTCAGAAAAAACAATAGCTTCTTTATTACATTGGTCATCTTTATTGTAACTTTTGAGTATGATGCTTGCAAATACCCAACAGAAAAATTGTGTGTTCTGTAAGGTGTTCTTTTTTTTACCCAAACTTTTTTACCTTTTTGTCGAATTTGTGATTAATTTGAAATACACAAAAAGGTAGGTCAGTAGTTAGTCTCTCAATTATAATATCCATTATCACATTAATCGGATATATCATTGACTTCATGGTAATCTCGTGAAGCTAAAAAATAAGGCAGTTTAAATAACCCAAGTCAAGTGTTTTTCAAGTGCTATTACTACAAGTAGGTAAAGGAGAGTTAAGTAGGTAAAATAAATAAAATATAAGATTATGTACTTCCCATCATTTATTTTCTCATCAGAAGATTAACCATAATCTATTGATATTACAATAAATTACATTTTCATCATCAAATGTATAATTCCGCTGTCAAATAAATTATTGCTTATTTAAATCGTACAATATTAAATTATGTCATTAAATCATGCGAGTGTGGTAAGTAACAAGATTCTGTTACAAGACTTTTCTAGACAAATTCCAATGATTATACATTATGTAAATGTTGTAAGCAAAATTATACAAACGATAGGCATTACGAATTGTTGACTGTATCAGTTGGACTGACTTACTAACAAGGTGAATATTTCCTATTTCTAATATTTACAATAACTATATCACAATGCATGTTTAAGGCATTACAGGTTAACTGTTCATCTACGCATTCATAAGAAATATAATTTTGTTTATAATGTGAAGGTAACAATTCAAATTTGATATTAGTTGAAACTAGAAACACACGAGAGCACTGGCTTTTCTTCATTGTAGGTTTTTCTCCTTTTCATTTAATGTGTAATCAAGTTTTCCCTAAATATTCAAAATATGAATTGTAAAACTTTTGTATAAGATTTTTCCGTACACAGAGTACAGATGCCTTAATTTATAACAGAAATAGAAACAATTTTATTTACAACACACTTACGCTACTATTTACACGAAATGCAACCTTTATAGATAAAATACAGTTCTACCTTATAATTACTGACTCGATTCAATAAATATAACTATCATTAAAGCCAAAAATACACTTTTTCAAAACAGATTCGACATTGAACAGATTTTTGTCACCGTGTTTAATACTGGACTGGGAATGGTTAACTTCGTGGGTCTTAATTAATAATACATTAACATACAGCCGTTGAGTTAGTGCCAATTTGTCTTTTTAGGAATCTTATGAATGATCTGAGATCCAAGAATGTGTTCAGGAACATTTTGTACCAAACTTCAGTCAAGTTTAGTGAAAGAATTCTAGTCCGCAAGATAAAGCGCACATATTCCTTAATAATAATCTACTTGATCCAATTTTATAAATATTAAAAACAATCACCAATTATTATTGTCATCTTTGTACTACAAGCGAGAGCAGGCTACTAGGACGGTACGAATTATTTACTACCAATTTTATTGGGAATATGCATTTTATTTTAGTAACTTATGTTTTAGATTGGTAAATTGATTAAGTAAACCCTAACTATAGGTACTTACAATAAATAAGCAAGTTATTATTGAAAATCAAGGAACTCTTATTCTGATGTTATTTGAACGAACGATAAGAAACCAAGTTTTAAACATACATTTTTCCCAATTTAGCATCGCGACAGTTTCATAACTTGACACTCGACTTCAGGCAGAATCCCGAAAAGCAATTAAGTTAATTTTGTATCATAGTACCTATCAGTCTTGTCAGTAGCCATCTTAGCACTTAACAACAAATAGTTTAACTTATTCGATCGGAACTGGACGGATGGACTACCTTTAAGACATCAAAATTCGGTGTTTTCTTTGCATCATCTTCACCTTGCCTTTCTCCTCACTGGTAAACGAACGCAGAGCGCTCACTAGCAATAATCCCTCCATAAACAACGGCTTTCAAGGGTCGTCTTTCTTCTTTCTTAGCTTGCCTTCTGTGTGTATGGTGTGGGTGACGGCTTCCACTGCTGACGTCAGATCGGCTTCGGGGTCCGTCGCCGCGGATAACGCAGCGATGTACGCGCACGCTATCCGCAGCACGGACAGTTTGGACAGCTTCTGGTTGTGGCTGTACGCAGGGACAGCTCGCCTCAAGGTGTCAAAGGCGGCGCTGATGGTGTGCACTCTCGTCCTTTCCCTCGCGTTCGCTTCTATCCTTCTTTCTCGCGTCATGTTCTTGTAATTTCTCTGCTCTCTAGGTTTGGGCTTTTCGTGGTAAGACGACTCGACGACGCCTGGGTGCGGTGGGACACGGGGTGGGCCTGGCCTCGTGTCTGGGACGGGCGGGGGGAGGAAAGGGGGTGGGGGTGGCTCGAGAGGTCTCCGCCTTTGCCTTAAGAGGCTGGTCTCGCTGGTTTTCTTGACTAACGAGAGGGGTTCCCGTTGGGGTTCCTCGGTGTAGGACCAGGGCCGGAACGGGCTGGTGGGGGTGTCGCTTTCGGGGCTAGTGAGGTCCTCGCGGGAGCTGAGGCGGATGCGTTTCTTGGGGGGCCCGAGGCGAGTGGGGGTACACTCTCGCTTCACTCGTGAGTCCGACTCGACGAGCCTGACTCCGGAATCGTCCGAGTGTGCTGGACCGGAGCACGAGTCATCATCTTCGCCTCCTGATACGAAACCCGCATCGCGTTCCAATATACGATCTGAAACAATAGAAAATTCAAATTAGTTCCATCATTATCAATTTGCATTAATAGATTCTGAAAATTTTGGTCTTAAGACTATAATCATCGTATGTTTATGATGCAAGATTTTCAACATTGTTGTTAAGGGAACCACTTAGGGGTTCTAAACCATATCGTTGACTATCAATGCTTTAAAGTTGCTAAGGTGAACAGACTTAGATCAATTTCAGTTTCTATTGCTATTGAAATAAGGTCTAAGTCTGAAGAAAGTGATACGTTACTGTGGCGTATACGTTACGATCGCGACGGAAGCTGCGCAAAAAGGCGGCGCGGGCGCAGCACAAACGGAGTCCTCGTTATAGGACTGGGCGCATGACTCGCGTACAAACTGCGCTTTAGTGGGCCACGAGTTCGGCGATTTACAACATGTTTATTTTCAACAGAAAATTAAATAGATTGGTACAGACTATGCGGTACATGACAGCCTCATAAATGTACCTACTTAGTTGCTGTAAAGGAGTGATTTTGCAACAATAATGTAAAGTCTGACGAGCTGACTGTACTAATTAATTAATTAAGGCAGCGTAAGCAACTGCTTCCACAATCGTAAACATAGATTTGATATTGAATCATCTTGGACTTTGATCTACTGCAGTCTACGTAATAGATAATAAAACTTTTTGGTATCTAAAGCTGGAAGAATTGATTACACCTGTCCAAGTGAATTGTCCTTTAGTAACCGATGACACTGAACTAAATCCGATAAGGGATATCTTACTTATTTATATGATTTGATATCAGTAAAATACTTTTGTATTCGGTACATACGAACTGCCAGCTTAGTACTGAGAATATTAGTAAGAGGGTAAGACAAGACGACTGAAGACTTAAGTAATGTAGGGGACTCCCACTCGGTTGACTGACAAATGACAATCTAGCGAAGATCGCAGGAGGCCGCTGAATGCGGCCAGTCGTGAAAATCCTTGGGAAGGTCTTTGCCCATTAGCGATACTCTTTTGGTTGAAAGGACCGTTATCGAACGAAGACATGAGTACTATCATATTTGCCCTCACCAGTTGGCGCCCCTAACTAGTGACAATAACAGACCTTATTCCTTTTTACTCTCGTTTAGCGGCCACAGAGCACGTCCAAGCGCCGCGCACGCGCATTCCGCGGAGCGATTCCGCGCCGACACCGATAAATAACAAATAATCGACCACTGTAGCCCCCGAGCCATAATCGTAACGCTTTTTACCGTTTTTTTTTTCATGCATATTAAAGCAAATTAAATGTATCTCGAATATCTCTGGCACTGAGCGCAGTCGTCGAGAAAGTTCAAGTAAAACAATGTTTTATCACCAAACCTGAACTGAAAATGTACCTACTTATTGTCGTATCAAGACATCGTAAGTTTTATTAACGTAAATGCGCCTATTACCGCCAGTTTAAGCTGACTTCGGATAAACGTTAGAAAATTAGATATAAGACGTGGTGATAGAAAAGACACTTTAAGTTATTTATAACAATGATGAATTAATCTTTGAATTCAAGTAGTAACAATGAGTATACAATCACACAATAATTAATAAATAGCAATTTAATCTGAAAAAGCAGTTGTTTCTATTACCGACCTATAGACGAGGTGTGTTTCTATTAACGTTTTTTCTGTTTCTATTACCGACCGCTAAGAATATTGCTCTTCAATTGGGTATATTCCAAGAGGCACGGGTTCGATTCCCGCCCAGAGGCTCGGGAACCACTTGATTTTTTTCTAGTTAAATTTGTTTTGCTTTTAGTTTTAGTTAAATTTGTTTTTTTTTTTCAAGTTCATTTTTTTATTATTAAAAGAGAAAAGGCACGCTTCTCGGAAATAAATAAATAATCAAGCAGAAATAGTAGAATAATAAATTCCTCTATTATACTTTATTACGCGGTACTCGGTGTTCTAGTGAGTAGTGGGGGTCATTATTTAAACTGTATTTGAGTTTTAATAAAATTTAATTTTCATTTAATATTTTATTTTTATTTTTAATTTGACTATAATTTTTAATTAGTTTTTGATTGATTTTAATTGTGTGTAATTGTGTATTTTAATTTAAACTATGAACCATTGGACACTGTATAATTATTTTAAATTATTTTTTTATTATTCAAAAGATCTTAAAAAGTTACATTGTAGTTGTGATAACGCATGATTGGTTTGGTGTCATGTCATAAATGTTAGTTATGTACAAAATACAGGCTTATAAGTCTTCGCAGGTGGCGTTTTAGTTATGAGGCGGTAATAGAATTAAGTATGAATATTACTTTATTCTATTAGCGACCGTAAAAAAAAGCAGTAACCAGCTAAAATATCTACTTTAATGAAAACGTGATCAGTGAAGTATCATTTTTATTAGGTTTTATTTTATATCAAATAGGTACTAATTAGAATTTAACAGGTTTTTATAAAATCTATTGTCATACATTATTAGAGATATTCTTTTATGTTCATTGCAGTTTTATGCCAAACCTATGACAATTAACGTATGGCGTTAATTGATTTAATTATGTGAAATATTCTTATGAATCGATCAAGATAACAAAATGGAGGTTAAATGCGTAATTAAAGATATAAATACCAAAATAAAAAACGTTATCAAAATTCTAACAACGCCATGGGTCGTTATTAGGAACCAAATTATTAAAAGTGTTTCTATTACCGCCCTTATTTAAAATTGTATTTAATCCACAAAAATACAGCGAGAGGGCTATATTGAGGGTTTATTAAGGAAACTAAAGTACGAATTAATATTGTTATGTAAAAACATGTTGGTATACTCATTTGAAATGTGTTAAAATCGCTAATTAATAACAAGGTGCACCTTAAGTAGCTGGGAGCGCGTCAGTATGAAAAGTGCGTCCGTTGCGGGCGCGTCCCATTTAATGTCAAATAACTCCGTTTACTGGTTATTTACGAACACAAACTTTAATCGTTTTGATAGTCAATAAACATATCTAGATATTTTTTAGGTAACGTGTTTTCTGGAACCTGTTAATATGTCTTTTATGAAAGAAAGAAAAATAGGGCGGTAATAGAATACAAATTTTGGGGGGTCGTTAATAGGCGCACTTACGTTACATAACGCTATCGCTTCTGACAACTTATCAACAGGATTAAATTGTGGCCTTACGCCCACGATATCTTTCCGCACGTGTTTAAGATCTTTAATTTCTCAGTTCAAGGAGTTCAGCTTCGTATATCTTACAGTGTGCTGAACATTATCAATAGCTAGTTCCTTCTAGATGTATCCTTCAATAAAGCAGGGTATGGCTGGCTCTTTCTAATCGTATGTAATGGACAAGGCTGGGGCGAGTCCGCTTCGACTGGCGCCGGCGCCTACGCCTGACGTCACGGCGACGGTATACATGAGGTAGCCGGACAAGATAAGTTTGGTGGACAGAGATAAATCTTAAGGTTTATGGGAATATTCACCCATAAGCATTAATGTTCTGCGCGGTAATTGTATAACACGAAATTTTTTCTCATTTCATTAAAAAATTTAGCTGAGTTAATTTATATTATTCTTGCGGTCTTGTCCATGGATATTATGACAAATTGACACGATGAAAACTTGTCAAAATATTTGATTTCTATTGTTGCAGACTTGGGTGGACTTCATGCTCCCTTGAACTCATCGTCTTTTAGCAATACCCCCTTATCTGGTAAGTCCTTATCACTATTATTTCACTATTATAGATTGGATCAGATTGGTAGAACCCACCTATCTTTTTTGAAATACTTTGGCGATAAATCACCTGACGACAATGGTACATCGATCTGAATAATATGGCATCTACAGCTTTAGTAAGTGCTTTCTGCAACCAAAATGTTAGAAAATAGTTTGATCTTTACTGACTCTACATTTTGGCAGCACATCAGAATAATCAATTTTTCTTTAAAAATAGTCCCAATTTCAGCTACATAAGACGCCTTATTGTTTATATGTCCGTTCACACACTGGTCCGAAGATATGTCAGACACATAATCTCGTACGTGTGCGCAGTCCGCGGAACCTGTTTGCCCATATGTCCGAGCTCCCATATTGTTATTAAATCATATTATTTTACCCAACCACCAATAGTCCGCATTCCAATCTCAGATATTCGTATATTTTAGAATCGTGGGTTTTCCCGCTTCTGTTTATGACAAAGTTTTTAATAGAAACAATAGAGGATTGAATATCTTATCAAATCTGCGGATATTAAATTACGTGGGTATTATCATTTGTGTGCTTAGGTGTTAGATAATAATACATATTATAGTAAGCTCTTTAATATTGTCTGAAGAAGTAACCTTGCGTAGATTAAAATATGTCATAACTTAGATTTTGGTAGAGACTCCACCAGTATCTCTCAAAAATAACGTGCTTTTTAAAGACTTTCTAATAGTACACCTAAATACGAACAAATAGAAACACTTTATCCAACAAGACCGTCTAATATAGATAATAGTATGTTCTTATTGGGCCCGCTACCGGAATTAGTTTATGGCTCATAATCGGACGAGCTCGGCGCCAACAGGGCGTTCCCAATCTGCTTGCCTCCGCCGAACTCAGCGCCACACGATTTTGACCTCTAATATAGAGACCTAAACGGTTTTCACAGCGGCAATTCTATAAAGCCACAAACGACCCGAGCTAGCTCAAGCGTGCTTCTCACACTACAGGTGTTTTTATGAGCACAAAATGAGAAACCTTGCATTTACACAACCCCGCCTACGTTTAATTGGCGCTGTAATCGGTTTAGAAAATGACATGTTGAACCACCTGAGCGCTCTAACTTCGAAATTCAAAATTGACGTGATTAATGACGTATAGGACAAGCTCACTGTAATATATCACGGCACAATAAAACACGTCTGGGCTGCGTCGCTCATTACGCCGTTTCACGGCGCGACGTGTTAAAACAAAGAGTAGAGGCTCAAAAGGCCCGATCCGAAGACCTCTCAGCGTTGAATGGGTGTCGATCTCTCCACA